CCCCCCCCTCCCCCGTCTGCTTTTGTTTTCAAAATATTAATATCATAACCTACGTTGTGACCGGTTTGGGGGGGCGAGTTGTTGTTGCTGTTTGTAGGCTAGGTTGTTTTTTTAAAATCCATGTGATGTCCCGTTATTGCCTGGACGCACAGTGTGTACTGTGTTGTACAGCGCTGAAGCTCGTGTGCAGTTCTAGAATTAGGGCACGGAGACTTCCTATGGTAAAAGATCTTGGGGAAAGGGGCACGGACACGGAGCGGACAGAGCAAATGGTCGAAATAACCATACTTCGTGGGCAGTCGCGCTGTGTTTGTTTCGGTTGGGAGGTGGGGGGGGGGGATTATTAACTGAAGGGAGGAAAATTGGTAGGAGTTCCCTCTGAAAAAGGAAAGATTAACGAGTGGATACAAATAGAAAGATAGGCAGAACAAAAATCCTTCTTAAAACTGAGTAACAATCTGTGCAAAGGTACAAAATGTTCAAGGAAAAGTTTTCGTCCCAATAATAAGCGACTCGTCTCCCCTTTCAGGACTTTTCTTTATTTGAATCGCAAAAATATATCTAGTATTTCAGTTTTTTATATATCCCTTACCGGAAGTCGGGTGTGCAGTACATGGTCGTGATAATGTAAACATTGTGGCATGATTTCAGTCAGAGGCCGTTTTCCCATGCCGGAACAGTAAGGTTTATGAGGATCTGTAGACGAAATTCGTGTGTTTGTTACTTTACTGTTAAACTTATTCCGCCAAGACTACTATGATGAAGGGTTTTGCCCCAGATTCAAATTTTGAGTCAGATTCTGACGAAGAGGTAGGTGAACTGACCCTAGATATCTAGATCTAGACTCTAGATCTAGATCTATTCTAGATCTAGATATAGATCTAGATCTAGATCTAGATCTAGATCTTGCTTTTTGTGTTGCAATGAAATGTCAGCGAGGATCGAGTTAAGGAGATTGTAGAAAAAAAGGGCATGCTGATAGAACTCTCGCAGGAAATTATTTCTGAGTGAAAATTGCTAGGTTATCATATCATGTCATTTGTTCTTGCCTACCAGAAGAAGACTATAACTTATAAGATGATGATGTTGGCTATTAATACCAACTGCCAACGGCACGGCGATGCATAAAGCTGAGCTTAGGCTTAGGCCTCTACTCTCTTTTATGGCCACCTCGGAGTGAGAATAGTGCAGGCGAGTCTTGTGGCTATTCTCACCCGGTGCGCGTTCACCAAATTATTTTGCGTTCACCCTAAACCACAGAATTCTACACTGTGATAACAGAAAAATTGTAGAATTCTGTGCCGTGAACAAACGATCCATTACAACTGTAGCCTACTAAAACTAAAAGCATACAATTTTGTCTGTGGGCAGTGGAGAAAGAGAGAGAGGAGTAGCGCGAGAATTTCCGGGCAAAACAAAATGGCGACCCGCGTAGTTCGGCTCGATTCGAAAAGTTAAATAGCCGTAGCATCTTTGTAGACAACCAAATTAATTTACTTTTGTGTTTTAACATCATTTTTTAAACTTTGTTTTGGTCAATTTGATTGTCCACACCGATAGACAGTATTCAGAAAGAGACTAGAGAGAGAGAGAAGAGGGGAGGAGTTGATCTTGCGAGAACTTCCGGGCGGGTGAGAATAGCCACTTTCCTCTTTTATCTCAGAAAAATGCATGCTGGTTTTAGTCTGATGTATGATTATAGAATAGATTATAATCTCAGTGTCTTTTCTGTTTCAGATACAAGAGGCATTAGCAGCTGGTAAAATCCAGCCTGGCCTGATAGTGGAAGCTCAGAAAAAAAATTTCATCGACAATAAGGTGAGCATTGTGTGCTGTTGATGTCAGCAAGTAGCTGAAGTGGTTGGGAAATTTTGTTGTTGTTGGTGTTTTTATGCCGTCATCGATGAAATTTTAATCATCGCAGTGGCTATTTTTACGCTGAGCCGTAAAGATAGCCTCCCGGGCTATTTTTACTGCGAGCCGTAAAGATAGCCTCCAGGGCTATTTTTATGGCGGTCACAAACTGATGACGTAGAACACGTTTTTCATAGGGTTGGGTCGTGCTCGCACAATTAGCGTCCGCGAGTAACGAACTACTCGCTGGCACTGCTTGCAAAGGAGTGGACAGGTAACGAACCGTCCACTTGTGAAGAGCAGTTCGCTACACATCGGACAGAGACAACAGTTCGTTTAGCGAGCGAGCGGACGGGCGGACCGAGAGACTCCATGCAATCGAGCGGGTGGACGGACAGACGGGAGCGACTCCTTCCATTGCATACAACTTACAACCCCCCGCCCCACCCCCCGAAAAAAAATTAATAAAAAAATCACCCTCCTGCCTCACACTGTAGCTAGGCGTTCTTGACGGAAATTCTCTCTCCCCCCCCGGCCTTTGAGATAATTGGAACGTACACAGTGTGCCCCCACGCACGAGGTGAAAGGTTACACACATAGTACTACGTCACCAGCCTCTCTCACTTCCTGTGGCACCGCTAGTGGTTTGAAACATCAGGCCTTATTAACAAACAATAGACAACGGGTCTAATCTCACGTCGAGTATCTCGTCTGCTAGAGTTCGTCCGTTCGCCCGCCCGCCCAGTGAATAAAATTGTGGAGCGGACCCAAAAAACGAACTGACTTGAGGCTTGAGGTCCGCA